TTTTAAATTGTTTTTTGGCTCAACACCTTTCATGCCCATTAAAGAACTCATTACTGTGTGGATTTTTCTGAAAAATGTTGATTAATGGCACAAAACTGAAAATTTCCAGTTACCACGGACTCTTAAGCTAAGGAAATAACAAATCTTTGGCGACCATTTTCTAATTAATTTTACCTCTGAAAACAGGTGACCCCCACCTCCTTCATTCGCAAATATCTCGACTTGTATTCAAGATAAATGGATATTTTTTTCCTCCAAATAAAGACAAGTGAACAAGCTCTAAGATGATACCAATAACTCTACATGCGCAAACATTGACGAGAGCCTGATTCCACCACGCTGCCTCACAAAGGTAACAGATGCCGCAAAAAGTAAAAGTAAGTAACAAAACAGAATTTATACATTAAAATATTTTTGAAAGTTCAACCCAAAGATTATTTTAACTGTGTGTTTTGGGTTTTTTCAGAGGCCACACCCTCCACGTCATCCAGCTCCTCCCCGGGCTCCTTTGGCTCCTCCCCCTCTACGTCAGCGACCACGCCCCCTTTCTGTGACATATCATTGGTTCCCGCCAGTACCACCACGTCATCGCCAGCTGCCAGCGAGAGTGCCGAGTCTACTTCCGGTTCATCTGTGTCGTCATCCAAGGTCAGTGTCTCCACATTGTCTCCTCTTGTGAGGTGAAAAAACTGGTCTAGAGCCTATTGTGGCTAGTTGGCTTTTAAGCTCATCACTTTTTTAACAGGAGATCATCTCTGACGTATCCTGGTAGGGTCACGTGATTTTCAAAGTGCGTTCGAGTCACGTGACAAACCGGATGTCGACAGACAGGCTTGTGGGCTGACTAGACACAGTTTTGTTTAGAGTGAAAAATAATGGTCATGATCAGTTATTTATAGCCTATCATGGAATTATTAAAGATTGATCTCATTTTTTTTTTTTTTTTTTTTAATTTAAAAAAGCTCATCACTTTTGTTTTAAAGATCCTAGACCCTGCAATCTACCCGTTTGATCTATATAATTATTATGTGGCCAAAGAATTTCAATTGTCGTCATCTCTACAAACCACCAATTCCCATTTTCACCTTTGCGCTGGTTTCTTTCTTTTTTTTCTTTT